ACCAGCCTTCCTCATCTCTTCAAAATCTTTCATAGAATCATAATTTCCATAGAGAAATCTACATATGCTTTCTTGGTTCAGCCACAGCAAACTTACAGAAAGCTGCAACACTCAGGGATACAATGAATGCTCCAACAATATGAAATCGCCGACGCTTGGCCAGAAGGCCACGCAGCTGAGGTTTCGCCGAAGCACTGGAAGCCATGGCAGTTACCGTGCCTCGGCAGCAACGTCCTTCCCGGCTGAAGAAGAAGTCGATACAGTAGTATTTCTAATAGTACCTGGCCAAGTAGATGCTTTATGCTTTTCATTTTTTCCCCTAATTTTGCCATAAGGCACATGTGCTTGTTAGAGACAGAGAGAGAAAGAGGGAGAGAAAGTGAGAAGTCACCTCCTAGGGAGATGGCCATGCTGCAATCCCTTCTCCCCCATTCTCTTCATGGGATTTCGGGCACCACGCACCCATGCCCAGCCGCTTCCACTGCAACACCACCCGCGGGCCCACTCTATACATTGAGTGTGTGTTCATTGATTGAATCCTCACAACAACTTCGTCAAGTGGTTATGAATATCTCTGTGAATATCTCTCTCTCTTTTTTTTTTTTTGGTCAGAGAACATGTGCACTTTCAGGAGAGAGAGAGAGAGAGATAAGAAAAATGCTGCCCAAGGAGGATGCCACACCACCATCCATTCTCCTTTAGGGATTTTGGGTACACACACCTGGCATGCACAAACACCTGGCATGTTTTATTATTTTTCTTTCAAGTCGCCAGGTATAGGACTCAAACCATGCAGTCTTCTATATGGGATTCAGCCACCTAAACCACCACACCACTGGCTGGTCCTTCACACTTATTTTATAGAAGAGACAGTTAAGTTCCAGAGAGATGAAGTAAGTTGTCCAAGGTCTCATAGCCAGGAAGTGGCAGAGCCAGGATTCAAACCCAGACACTCTGGTTCCAGGGGCCCATCTCAACCTCGAAGCTGTCATATCTCTTTGACCCTAACCATGACGATGACTTTACCCCTCACAGTGAACGAGGCAGGGGAGACAGCCCTGGACATAGCCAGACAGAAGCAACACAAGGAGTGTGAGGAACTGGTGAGGTCTCAGGGAGGAGGGAGAGCCCTGCCCCCTTCTCCTGGCTGAGCCCCTGACCTGTAACTGCCGTGCCCGTGTTTCTGGCAGCTAGAGCAGGCCCAGGCGGGGACCCTGGTCTTCCCTCTGCATGTCGACTACTCCTGGGTTGTTTCTACGGAGCCTGGCTCTGACAGCGAGGAGGACGAGGAAGAGAAGGTGGGTCCTGGCCCCTCGGCTGGGGCCTGTGGATGGTGGATGGACAGAGCCAGCAGGGGCTGGTGTGGGGCGGGGCAGGGCCAAACTGGAGGAACCAGGCTGTCTTCCCTCCCACGCTTTTGACCCAGCAGCGCTGCCCTCTGAAGCCCCCAGCCCAGGCCCGCTGGGCCCCCGGGAGAGTGAACCTCAACAACAAGACCTACGAGACTGTCGCCAGCCTGGGACTGGCCACCCTTCAGAGCCAGAGCGAGGACTGTCCTCCACCCTTGCCGGTCAAAAACTCTTCTCGGGCTGTGAGCCAAGGCCGTGCAGGACCTGCCAGTGGAGGTATGGTATCAGCTGCCCTGAAATATGCTTATCATGGCCCTCGCTGAGGGCTGCTGTGTGCTGGGCCCTGAGCCAAGAGTGCCTGTGCCAGTCCCTGTCCTCACCACTGCCGCCCAGGAGGGACAGATGTGCAGGAGCACACCCGAGTCCCCTCAGCTGTCGCTCTGATGTGGAGCTAGACCCAGATTCCTCAGGACAGCACTGACGTGATAAAGACACCATAGTAGCCAGCAGGTGGCATGGTAGTTAAGGTGCTAGATTCCCACATGGCTGACCATGGTTCAAGTCTCAGACTAGGTGGCTTGAAAATCACACTGGGTACATGTGTGTACACATATGCCCAAAATCTCAAGAGGAGAATGGAGAAGGGATTGCAGTATGGCCATCCCCCAGGGGGTGATTTCTCTCTTTCTCACTCTCTCTCCAGTGAGTGCATGCGCTGTATGGCAAAAAACATTTAAAAAAAAAATAGAGTCTATAGAGCATCTGCCCTGAGTCCTTTGGGTGCTACCAAGACATAGCCCTGGGGGTGAGAGAAACCGGATGCAGTACATTGTAATCCAAAGCACAGCGTGACAGAGAACATAAGCCCCACGGGCAGAGACTGGGCTTTGGTGACTGCTGTTTGTCCCACACCTAGTGCATCCTGGCTGCTCTCTGTCGAGGGAATGGAAAGGCTGCTGGGATGTCAGGGAGGGAGGGAGCGTGTCCTGTCGGGATGGGTGCGGCTGAGGGAGGCTTCCCGATGGCAGTAGCATCTGAGCTGAGCCTGAGGGATGGACAAGAGGAGAGGCTGTGAGCAGAAGCGAGAAAGCAAGTCGGCGGGCTGGCCAGTGGCATGATGGTTAAGGTGGAGGGATCCCACAGGGTGACTATGTGGTTCTAGTCCCAGACCCGGCAGCTTGAAAACCACACAGGGCTCATGTTTGTGCATGCCCAGACTCCTGAGAGGAGACTGGAGGAGAAAGCACTGTGGTGGCCACCCCTGGGAGGTGCTTTCTCACGTTCCCTCTCTTTTAGTCTCTGTCTCTCTGGTGAGCACATACATTCTGTAGGGGAAAAAAAAAAAAAAAAGATGAGTCCACCTGGGTCTGCTGCGCATGACTGAGTGACTGCTGCAGTTGGAGGGGAGGAGAGGCTGCAGAGATGGATGGGGAGGAGCAGGTGGGGGAACCATGCTGAGCCCAGACGCCAAGACTGCTTTGAAATGGAGCACAGCGCACATGATAAGACGCTGTATCGCTTCTCGTTGCAGATCGTCCAGATGGTCCCAGCCTGAGTCCTGAGGCCCCTGAGACTCCTGAAGGCCTGGACAGTCCAGCAGCCTCCTCCTCCTCTAGCCTCACCAGCCCTACTGAACCTGGGGGTTTCAGCCAAGCCCCATCTAGCTCCGAGGAAGGCCTCCGGCAGCCCTTGGGCACCTCTCGACCCAGCCCTGGGCCCACCCCTGCAGAGATGTATCCTCCCGTCAGGTTCAGGTTGGTGAGGGACTGGGCAAGTCTGACCTCTCCAAGGGGCCATTATCTTCCCATCTCTAAATAGTTCTTGTCTGGAGACCAAGTCATAGTCCAGCCCTGCGGCCCGTGACAGATGGCGGAAGGCTGGACCTTGCGGGAGGGCCTTTCCCTCTCCCTCCCTGCTCCCGAGTCTGGCCTGGAGAGCTGGGGAGCAGGCTGGGACCCCACATGCTGTAGCTGGGGCGGGTGGGGGGAAGGTCGGGCCCCACCCCAGGGGCCTGTTCTAGAGGGCCTGGGGACTTCACTCTGTCTGTCCTCACCTGGAAGTCAGTCCTCTCCCTTCCTTGCAAACCTGTTTAGTCCCGAGTCTGGGAGAAGTAAGCCTGGGATTGCCCCAGAGCCCTGTGGGGGTCAGTCCAGGCCTTTTGGGCTTGTGGGTCCAGCCTGAGGCCTTGTGGACTCTCCACCCACTTTTCCTAAGCCCCTAGTTTTGCTCTGTGCGTGTACCCTTTCTCCCCATCCCGAGGGATCGCTGGGTGACACCAGCCGACACCAGGTCATGTTGCCTTTCCCTGCCTTCCAGCTCCGAAAGCACTCGCTCCTATCGGCGGGGGGCCCGGAGCCTGGAAGATGGTCCCTCAGCCAGGCAGCCTCCGTCCAGAAGGAACGTGCTGGTAGGAGCTCGGGACCCCGGGCAGAGTCGTCAGGAGTAGGCACCTTGGGGTGGGAGGCCTCTCTCTCCATGATTGGGGTACCTGGGGGCCCGGCAGTTATAGGTGGGCCCATCATCCCTGTCCTGGTGCTCCTCTCCCCACTCATCCCAGGCCTGGGTGAAGAGAGAGCCTAGGTCTTGAGGACAGCAGGAGTGACAGGACTGAAGCTCTAGCTGCTCCCAGGGAGGCTAAGCGAAGCTGTATCAGCCAGGCAGTGGCTCAGAGAAGGAATTACCTCCCCGCAGGAGAGGCAGGATTAGGGCGGCTGGATGCCTGCTCTTGGCTCTCCCAACCCTCCCCTTGTGCAGAAGCCTCCTAGAATCCACAGGCACTTCTAGACTCTGGGAATAGAGGGGCGTGACCAGGGCGGGGCAAGAGCTGCCATCCTTAACCCGCTTCTCTGCGGATTGCGAATCTTCAACAGTGACATGCCTGCAGTTGCGCCTGGGAGTGGGCATAGACGAGGGCTAGCTGTGTCCGAGGGTGTGGCCTCCGTCCCCCAGAATCCTCCAGGATGGCAGCCACAGGAGCTGGGTCACTCTGGGGAATTGTTACCTTTGCTTTGTGGAGATCAGGCACCAGGCACAAGTCTGAATCCGTACTCTACTTTTATTCTGCAAACCCGTCGCCCGGCATTTAGTTGACACTCGTGGTGGGGCGTGTGGTAATAAGAACCTAGTCTTTAGGTTGGAGACCCGGGCTACTTCTCAGGCCTTAGTTTCAGTGTCTGTGAAATGAAAATTATTTCATCCCCGACACCAGGACAGTCATGAAGGGCAAGATAAACACTCGGTACGTGGTTGGTGCTTACGACACGCCAATCTCATCCCTCTCTCCCTAGACTGGCGTCACTGAAGGAGACGTCTCAAGGACTGGGGCTCTCCCAGCGAGTTCTGTGCAACTTCTGCAAGACTAGCTCCCTGCTGGCCCCTGCATGCCGCACACTGGACCCCAGCGTGCAGACCTGGGACGTGAGCCCACAGGACTGGGGAACTAAGGCGTTTGTTCCCTTGTGCTTCTGTGGCTGGCCTTCTCATTGTGGATCACGGGCCTGCCGAGTGCACTGGGCCCTTCTGCGTTGGGGCCGATGGTGGTCTTTGTCCCTGTCTCATTACCTGCTGGGGCCAGGCATCTGAGTCCTCGTGAGCTAGCTTTAGCCGCAGAGCCCTCAGCCCCTCGTCAGATGGTTGTTAACGTTCTCCCATCGGCCTGGGACCAGCCGCCTCCTCATTCTCCATGTCCAGAGCAGGGACGCTGGACCAGGGACTGGTCTCAGCTGTTTACTAGTCTAGTATTTCTTCACCAGATTCCAGCTCTATGTGCAGGCGTGCGAGGCACTTGGGATGCACGTGAATGGCACGTCCTGCAAGCATGGTCCTTTCCCGGGAAGCTGGTCTCTGGGGTGGGCTTGGGGATGGGCAGGGCCAGTTTCCAGGGCGTGGGCTCAGGGGCAGGGCCAACCGTCCTCCGGCTTATACCCGGGTGACTGTGGCACCTGCAGCTCATATCCATTCTGGTCTGTCAAAGACCACGCTGTACTGGCGGTTCAGTATTCGCAGTGTTACTCCACGTGAGGGCTCACTGCTTCCCTGGGGTCTCCACTCTGGTTCCCAGCCTGGAAATAGAAGAGGACTCGCTCGTACTCGCCCATCTCCTTGACCTCCGGGGAAGGAAAGGAAGGGCTGGGGATGGCCGAGCCCCGGCTCTCACCTCTCTCGTGGTCAGCTCAGGAGCCTTCCAGTCTGAGGACGTGACTGTCATGGCAGGGGAAAGGAGGGTGGGGGGGGGAGGCAGAGGTGGCAAGGCTTGCTCCCCGAATCAGAGCCGTCCCTTGCCCAGCCTGGCTAGACCGCACATGCTCAGAGCTCAGCCGTCACAGCTTTCTGGTTGTCATCTGCTGGGACCTCCTGGGCAGACTGGAGAGCTCCGGGAGTGGGCAGCATAGCCGTCTAGCCAGGGGCCGGGCTGTTCCCCTTGCAGACCTGGCTGCTCTGCGGTCCCCCAGGATCCGGTGTCTGCTGAGCTCCTCGTGTCTGGCTTTGTTCATCTCAGACTTGATATTTCACTCATCTCTAATAAAGGATTTCCAGTAGTTTCATCTTGTGATCTGAAGAGCAGTAGGGAAGGGAAGGGAACTTGGGTGCTGGGACTTCTTTCTCCTGACCAGGGAAGGGAGACCCCGTGCAGCAGTGGTTTACAGCCAGCCGTGGCGTCGTGTCCCCGGGACACTTGGCAAAGCAGAAACAGTTTGGATTGGGCCAGCAGCAGCTGGAGGGTGCTACCAGCGTGTGGTCACACAGGTCGGGGTGCTGCTAAGCACAGTGCACAGTGCAGCCCCGTGACCACGCCTGATCCGCTCCACACTGTCCAGGGTGCTGAGGTGAGAAACGCGGGGCAGAGGAAGGAGCACGGGGCTCGGGGTGTGGAGACCTGAGGCTGGGCTCCCCCGCAGCCCCTATCAGTCTGTCATGGTCCCCGTTGACTGCCCCTGAGGTGAGGATTTGGGGGCAAGCAGGGTGTTCGTGAGGTGACCCCAGGAAGCATAATGAGAGCAGAGAAGGAAAACGTAAGGTCACAACAGTAAAGGGTCCGGCCGTAGAGCACAGCAGGCCGAGGCCAGTGGGGAGACCCGGGTCTGATTTCTGTGCCTCCCCTTAAAGCCAGGTAGGATAGCGAGCACCTGTAGTCCCAGCTGCCAGGAGACAGCGGCGGGAAGATCACAACAGACTGCGACCCTGTCTTCTTCTTGCTTTTTTTTTTTTTTAATTGCTGGAGGGTATGAGTGTTTGCCAGAGGAGAGGGAGAAAGCACCTCCCAATGGCACATGGCCACACCCCAGCCCCTTCTGTATTCCTCCATCCTGTCGGATTTGGGCCGTGTACACATGTGCCTGGCCTGGTTTTTCAAGCTGCTGGAGCCAAGGCTCGAACCACAGGGTCTGCCAATGTGGGATCCAGCTGTCTTAACCACTAGGCCAGACCTTGACTTAAAAAAGTAAACGGATGTGTTTATGAGGGGTTACCATGGGAAGCAACCAGTGCCGCTTAACCCTGTCTGGGTCCTTCAGGAGATGGTATTGATTAAGAATAGAGAATTGGGGTGTTCGCCGCCAACTCCGGCCTCTGTTGGTTGGCCCCAGGGGTGGGGGACTTCCTGGGGATATCAGTTCACCATCTGCCCAAAGCGTAGTCAGAAGGAGGTAAGAAGCTGTCAGAGCTGAGTCCAGAAAGTGTCTGCAGGTGGCCTCCTGGATGGACTGTAGGCAGAGGGCGTACGGTGGTACCGACGCTGCACAGTATCAATACTGTCTGATAAGGTCGGACACTGCAATCCCGCGGGGCAGTCGCCCTCTCTGAGCTCCGTTCTTCCCATCCCTGCAGTGAAGGGTTGGACTCGCTTCTTTAGGGTCCTTCAAGCATTGATGTAGGATCTTGGCTTCTTTTGACATCACACAGCTCAGGGTGGGGATGGACAGAAGTTTGAGAAAGATCTTTTTTATTAAGAAGGTACCTGTCGGGAACCAGCAGTTAGCGTAATGGCTATGTTGCTGGACTCCCACATAGTCGACCACAGTTCGTGTCCCGGACCTGGTGTCTTAAAACTCTCCCAGCGCGTGTGCGTGCGTGCCCAAGATCCCGAGAGGAGAATGGAGGAGAAGGGATTGCGGCGTGACCATCCCCCCTGGGGGGTGATTTCTCGCTTTCTGTCTCTATGTCTCTGTCTGTCTGGCGAGTGCATGCGCCCTGTAGCAACAAACCTCTCAAAAAAAAAAAGAAGGTACCTGTCCCTTCAACTCAGGGGAATTTTAATAGGGTTGACCAAGAGTATTCACAGAATCTCAGACTATAAAAGTCTAACCTGTTGGGCCCAGCTAGTAGCCTGGTGGTTAAGGCAGCTGGATTCTACTGGCTGACCGCAGTTCGAATCCCAGACCTGCTGGCTTGATAAACACACCACCGCCCCTGCACACACCCTCCTTGCCTCTGCAACCACGCTGGTTTTTGACTCCTCCAATACTGACAGAGCAAGCACCTTCCCACCCCTGGGCTTGCACATTCGGAATTCCAGGAAGACCGCTTTATCGGCATGCCCAGGGCTAGGACGGCCTGGCACATAGCAGGTGCTCGGTACATGTACGTCCAAGGAATGGGTGCGTCCTCCCACACAGACACACCCTTCCTCTCCCCCGGCTCCTGCCCTGCACTTTAGCCCTAAATTTAAACTTCATTTCTTCAGAGAAGATGACCCCAAGCAGTGATGGTCCCCTCAGATGTGTCAGTAAGGTATCTGCCTGTCCCTCTCCTCAGCTGTGACAAATACAGTCATTGATGATGTTTGTGTTTAAGGTTTCTCTTGCCTAGAAATTGAGTCTCCCCGTCTTTGGGACTGGGTCTGTTTGTTCATTGCTTGGACAATTGATACGTATTTGCTGAAAGAACCCACAAAACCACTCCCGTCTTCCCCTGATCCCAGTCACTCAGCAAATACTGGATTGTCAGCAAAATCATGTCACAGTTTTGCATAGAAAACCAAAAATACATCGTGACTTCTCCGACAACCGAATACTAGAAGACAGGAGTCCTCACCAGGCTGTCTTTCTGGCCCAGGCAGGAATGGGTTTTCTTTGTTTTTAAAAGAGATTTTTGCCACACGGCGTGTGTGCTCGCTGGAGAGATGGACAGAAAGTGAGAAATCACCCCCAAGGGGAATAGCCCTTCTCCTTCATTCTCCTCTTGGGATTTTGGGCACACACACACGCACATGTGCCTGACGTGAGTTTTAAGCCCCCAGGTCTGGGATCGAACCACAGACAACTACATGGGAACTCAGCAATGCAACCATTACACCATCTGCTGGCCCCGGGAATGGGATTTTTCTAAGGCTTTCTTAGGAAACAAGATTTCACCGGACATCCCAAACCACTGCTCCCCAGCCTGCACACTGTGGGCCACTTTTCATGCCTCCCCTCCAGATCCCTGAGCCCCGCCCCTCCTCTGAAGATCATTTTCTGTTATGCTCACTCCCTGTTTGATTTGCTGTAGTGTGTGTGCTCTCTGGAGAGACAGAACGGACGTGAGACAGCACCCCATGGGGGGTGGTCACGCAGCAATCCCTTCTCCATCTCCCCTTTCAGGATTTTAGGCATGCACGCACACTCGCACGCTCGCGTGGGTGTTTTTAAAGCTGCAGGTCTGGGTCTCCAACTCTGGGCCATGTATTGTAGGATCCAGCGCTTTTACCACCACGCATTGGTTGCTGACTGGCCTAAACTGGTTTAGGAAGGTCTGCAAGGGAAGGTCTTGGAAGATCCTCCCACAGGAAAGCAGATGTGTACACAGCTGGGGGAGGTGAGCCCACTTGTGAGCCCTCCACCCCTCCACCCAAGAAGATCCTTCCAAACAGAATCCTTCTGGGGAGGTACTGACCTGACCCTCATCAAATAAAGAGCACCCATGCTCCCGCGTCAGGGTTTCTCAGTTCCCGGTACCTAGCAATCTCCCAAGCCCTCACTACTCCGTAGCCCCGCGACCAGCCCTTCTGCCAGCACTGGGGAGCTCGGTAGAAACACACAACCTCACTACAACAGCGAGCTCTGGGTATGCAGACCGAAACAGAGGCGGGAGCTCGGCTCAGGGCAGAGCCGGCCTTAAGGACCTGCCCAGAACTGCGATTCCAGCGCGCCGCGTTGCCTCCTCTTGCACCGAAGCACGGAGCTGCAGCGCCCGGCTTTGGACTGCAGCGGTGCCGAGGACGAGCTCAGAAGTTTTCCCCAGGCCCTGGGGCACTCTCAGGCGCCCTCTGCGCTATTTCCTCAGTGGCAAGGACCACTAGGACATCTCAGATCTTCCCACACCACTCTGCTCGCTCCCCTCCCACCCCACATGCGGTAACTCTGGAAGGGCGGGAGGTGAAGGCCCCCTCTGGAAGCCTCGTCCCTGCTGTGCCCGAGGCTCAACTGGCCCGCCAGGCTGGGCAATCTTTGCCCGGGTGAGTCCTTGAAGTCTATATTTAGTGCACGCCACCCTCCCCCAACACAGTTGGGAGGCAGGCGGGGGTGTGGGGGGAGCCCCGCCCCCGCTAGGCGTGCGCGTCGTGTGTGTTTGGGGCCCGTGCGGGTTGCACGTCCTGGATCTTGGCGCCTCCTGCCCCCGAGGCCCAGCTACTGCCTCTGCGCCCCTCGCCCCGCCGGGCGTCGCAGGCCATCATGGGCCAGGAAAAGGAGCTGCTGAGGATCGCCAAAAAGCTGGAGAAGATGGTGGCCAGGAAGAGCACGGTGAGGCTGCGGAGTTTGGGTCACAGCCCCCGACTCCGGGAGGAACGCGCGAGCGAGCCGGGAAGTCCCCGGGGCGCGTGCTGGCTAGACGCCCGGCAGGCGCGTGCGGGACGCAGGGACCCGAGGGAGGCGCCGCCGCTGCAGGACCCACGGCGCCTCCGGCAGGCGCGTGCGGGACGCAGGGACCCGGGGAGGGCGCCGCCGCTGCAGGACCCAGGGCCCCTAAGGGACACTCGCTAGGCACTTCGGAGTGGGCGTGTGCATGGCCCAGGGCGGGCGGTGGGAGTCCTGAGGGCCGTACACGCCCTCGTGCACACCGGGGTGTCCGTAAAGGGGCCGGTCCCTGGGAAAGGACTTTCAGCGCGTCCCGGGACTGACGGCGTGTGCAAAGCTCCCGGAGCGATAGCGACTGCACCGGGCAGGGGCCGCAAACTCTGGACGGCCCGCGAAGGGGCAGAGAAACTTGGAAACGGGTATTGAGGGTCAGCCCGTGGCGGTGGTTAGGCAGCTTGGATCCCCCCGATGGCCGCCCAGCGCGGCTCGAGTCCCAGACCAGCAGCAGAAAAAACACAACGCTTGTTACGTGCCCAAAATCCCAAGAGGAGAATGGAGAAGAGTGCAGCGTAGCCAGTCCCCCTAGGAGGTGACTTCTCACGTTCTCTCCCTTTCTCTCTCCCTGGTGAGCAGACGTGCCCCCCAGCAAAATTTTAAACGGTGGTGGTGGATAGGGGCGTGAGTTGAGCCGCGTTTCCCCGTCCTTTGGTCCTTTGTAACTTTCTTTTTCCTTGGCGGCTGGGTGGGGCCCGGGGCAGACTGGGGCGAACAGGTGCCTGGGCCTTCGGGAGGGGGGAGGGGGCCGGCTAGCGGACCTCAACACGCG